TTTTTTGTGACCTTATCAATAACTAATTCATTTGTGTTTTGTTTGTTTCCTTTCATGTTTTTCTGTTTTATTTTTAAAATTTAAATAATAATTTGATTGCTTCGAGTGTCTTGAATTTGAAATTGTTGAAACTACGGCAACCTCGCATGACGCAAGCTCGACACGGCGGCGCGACAAAGGAGCAGTTACCAGTGATGCGCGGCTCTCTTGGCCGACGCGACGGTTGGGCTGTCGATGGAATTGTCGAAATACATAGAAAAAATAGCAAAAAAATAAAATACGTATTTAAAATTGTTGAGTGAAACATGTATTTTCTTAGATTGAAAGTAGTTCGGAAAGTGGCGGTAAGAGACAGTAATTCTCAACATTTATTCATTCAGAAAGATATTCAAAGTAATGTGTGCTTTTCAAGGTGTTTTGTAAATCAGTGGTTCAAATTGTGATGAGGCCTATATGAAAATAATGTGTTAAAAATGGGGACTGTTATTTTAGTAGTTATTATAATAGCATGTACAAGTAAAGCAGCACAGTGAAGTCTATTTTAGTTAAGTGTATATCGAAAAAGAGAACTGTCACAGTTACATCGATCTGTCATAAGTATCTTTTTTAATGTTGGGTAAGGTTTTTAATTCAACTTTTTTAACTTTTAAACATTTAACTTTTAATTTATTTTATGTAATATCACAATCTTAAAAATGTAATGCATCTCTGCAAACTCCTCCGGTGTTGTGATTTTATGACTTACTTTGAACATATACTTTCTTGTCCATATGGCAACACAGTGCGTCGAATTATCTGAAATCCGGGCTTGATCCGGGTAATTGGATGTAGTTGATAGATAATCTGCCGGCAGTTCTCAAAATGTTGCGATTATTTTTTTAAATTTTCAAAGTTAAATAACTCGGTTATTTTCAATTTATTTTAAAAATGGCAAAGAGAAAATATGTTTATTTTGACCAGATCTACCACACCTTAAAATATCTGTACTCATTTCTGGAACACCCTGTATAACATAATAAAGTGCTAATATCTGATGTTTCTACTAAACCTGTCCGTAACATCGACTGTACCATGTTTGAGTAAGCTCTAAAATTCCTATTCTTGTGTTAAGTAATTGTATAAAGCAAATAATAATAAAGTAAAATGTTACTCTACCAATCCGCTAAACAAAGTTAACAAAGTAATAACAATGCCAAAAGAAAAACACAAGTTTAGGAACAGACGTCTCTAATTTCGTTTTATTGCAAGGAAATCCGACAAAGTCTACAAATATAAGACGAACGGCTTAATATTTCGAGCCCGCTGCCGTAAATTAAACATTTCCTAGCCAGGCATAAAGCGAGTTGAACGCTATCACAGGATTTGCCGCTACGCTCTGTATGTGTTTATGAAATTGATCTCATTAGAACGGGTTTTAATCCCATATTATGTCATGTTTAGTTTACGCTACAATTTTAACCTTTATTAGGTTAGGAAATTTCGTAGTTTTTAACAGGTTTTTATTAGCTTCACCGATGTGTAGTGGTCGTTTTTCAATCAGATGAAAGAGATTGGTAACGTTATTACGAGATTTATTATTTCAAAGATTGAGTCAAAATTTGAGTCTTCATATTCAAAGATTGAGTCAAAATGAACAAGAGCTCATTACTAAGCTTATAAATTATTTTCCTCGAGAAAAAGATGCTGGAAAGAACACTCTTTGCTTGTGGAAGCCGTTGGTTAGGGTTGGGTTGGGTCAACTTTGTGTAGATGTCTATTTTTAGGATCATATGTTAGTAGTAATCAGTAATGATCCTCAATTAAATTTAGATTTTCAGGTATCTTCTAAATGCTCTTAGAGGGAAAAATTCCTTGTATGTCTAACAAAATATATATTTTTCAAAATTTATACTGTTTGCTGTATGACAAGCGCAGATCTTTCAAACCGAAGCAAGAAATAGCTCTTTTGTTGCCTCAATTTAAAATATACGATAACGTATACCACCAAACCAACAACTGGGACATTTCAGTGGGAAAATATAAAGAACGGGACAAAAACGCGTAGCGAAAAAAGAGCGAAAACCAAAAAAGAAAACTAAACTTTTCCCTAATTCATCCGTCTTCGGGGAAAGCGGAAAGTGTGGCACCATCAGTTTTTCATCTGAAACAGGCATAGGCGTGCGGCCAAGGGTAGCAGGGTAGTTTATACCCCTAAAAATATTACAAAATATCTAAAATATTACTTTTAAAACAAAACAAAAAAAAATAATCTTTAACTTAAGTAGCTGATTCATTTCTTGGAAAGACTTCTAGGTTTTTCGCCACTACAAGAAAATCTACAAAATTAAATAGTTATTATTATGTAAACAACACTGCCTTAGTCCAACAGAGACTATTTTTTCAGTGATATTTTTTTCATAAAGCAAATTAAGCTAATGGACACAAAAAGCTTAACGTTTTAGGAGGTATATCTCCTCCCGTCCTCAGTAGCAAAAAATGTCACACGGAACAAAGAAAAATAGTATATTAAGCAACGAGTATCGAAAACGACGTTTTACACATGAGTTCGACAGTTGCTCGAGCCGCAGGCAAGAGCCACAAGTCGAACGAGTGTACAAAGAAGTTTTTGAACGAGTTTTTTACGCTATTTTTTCTACGACAACAAATTAGCAGCAGACTCACTCAGTTTTTGCCAGTTTTATGAAATAATTTGCTATGTAATGATGACACTTTTCTGACGGCTGCGTTGCGTTTGGCGTTTCAGCTAAACATTGGAAATTAAAAATGTTAAAATTGGCACTTGACGTGTGCAAAATGACACATGTCGTGCGCTAAATCCTTAGCACACCACAGTTTCCAAAACGCCAATTTCAGATCGAGTTTTCCGTGTGTCAAACTGCATTTTCTAGGCTAGTCATAGAAAAAATATGTTTAAAATATCTAAATATAACTATTCAAGAACACTTTTAAGATTAAACAGATTCGTCTATAAAAACCGTTGACGTTCTCTCACAGAGAAAGCCTAATATCATAGATAAAGGAAAATAATCTAAACCACAATTTCTCTAGACGGATAGATCAAAGACGAAAATGACATTCCTCGCAAATTTTGTAAAAACTATAATTAGTCGAAGAGTTAAAAGTTTGTTAACTTTTTCCACTAATTGAAGGTTACTACCACTAATTTTGACGTTTTGAATACTTACATTGATATTAGAGAAACAAACTTCTACGCTAATTGAAACTACTAATTTATTCCAATATTATTTTTGGGGTTTGAATGAAGCTTTATAAAAATAATACCACGATTTAAGGGTAAAATACTACCGCACGCCACTGGTGATGGGAAACGGAAAACGGGGAAAAGTAAATAATGTCCTTTTCCATCCACAGATGAGTTAATGGTCTTATTTCACTTTTTAGTTAATTACCGTGTCAGAATGGGCCCGGATAAGGTTTATGTAGTGCCTTTCGGGAAAGGGGAAAGCCATTAGGAAAATATGAGAAATTGCCCGGTCATGAATGGTTCGGAGACAATGAATGACGAGGAACGCACACCAATTTTGGTAAAAGCGTGGTCGTGGACTCAAGGTCAACGATTTATAAGAAAATCCATCATTAAACGTTTATTTTTATTTAATTTAAAAATCGTCTTACTTAAGGCTACTAAAATTAATTTACTAGAACTTATTTTAATAAAAATATATTTTAAATTGTGGAATGAATGGGAGGGGGAAAGTTAACCACAGCGACCTTGTGACCTTAGATGTTTTGTGTCCCCCTTTCTTGAGTTATAACCAATCATGCAGTCTCAGAGCTTTGACAAAAACTAGTATCTGAGACTGATTTACAGAGGTTAGTTCTCCATCTCCAGCACATTCAGTGATGAGTTGTTCTGGTGTTTTCCTATTTTCCCAACAGAATCTGCATTCGCCGTTGTTTCTCAGCTTTATTCTACTGTTATTTGGGGAGAAAGTGTCCTGTCCGTGAGAATTCAACGATAGCTCTTACTTAAATGAAGGAAAATCTTCGATTTTTCTCGGTGATAAGTTCTGAGAAATTTTTGTGTCTTAGACCGTTGGAGGATACCCATTCCAGGTAACAGATGGAGTCTTCCAGGTGTTCTGTTTTAAGCATCGTTAGTGGGTACTTATCCTATAGCTCTGGAAAAAAAAACATTCTAATGAGTAAATCGACCAAGAGAAACAGCACGAAATTATTTTGAAGTTTGAAAAATATCTACTAGAGGGCACACCTCTTAACCAGTCAGATAACGGATATATTTTTCAAAAATATGTATATGAAGAGGTATTTTAAACTTTTGTTATTGTAATCTATGGAAAACGTATTTTTTGGTAGTGTAAAAGTGGTGAAAGATTAAACTTGCTTTGCTTAAGGTATTATTTGGGTTGAAAGACTTAAACAAACTAGAGCTTTTCTTCCCTGTTCCTAAAAATCTGCAATGCAAACTTTGTCTTCATATGTTTTCCTGCGTTTAAAACAACTAACTTATTTTTTAGAAATCACATTTTTTATAATGTCAAATTGAAATAATTAATACTTAAATTATTATCTGTTATTACAATTATTATAATACTAATATAAGGGATGAGCCTTTAATAAGTGCAAATATTTTTAGCGCTGGTAAATCTGGACAAAAGGAACATATTTTTTCAAAGTCCAAATAACCAAGTTATTTTACTTTCAAAATTTCAAAAAAAAAATTTTTTTGCTTAAATTCTGAGAACCGCTGGATTTTTTCCGGGTTCTCTTTTTTGTAAATTTACCCTCTATGTTGCCATATTATCGAGAAATTATGTTTTTTAACTAAAAACAAAAAAAATCCGAAAATTTGTTCAAAAAATTACAAATACTCATCCTGTATAATTAGTCACCATATATGCTTAGGATTATTATAATTCTGACTTCGCTTTCATTAAATCACCAGGTATAATTTTAACATTAGTATTTTATACCACTGGATTATATGATACACTTACCTAACCTCTAAATATATTTATCTCTTTTTCAGGTTACTTTTGGCACATTACAGATATCCACTACGATGGACATTTCAATTCAGTGTCCGACATTAGAAAAGGTAAGAAATATACTGTTTATTGTATGTACTTTCTCTTGTATTAAATTAAAATAAACTCAAAAAGCATATTATACAGACTAAATGAAGAGCAGACTTTCTAGATGCATTTTGTCCATTTTTTCGAATTTTGGCAAACAAAGAAAAACTGCCACGCGTTTTGGCAAGAAACTTACCGAAAAACTAGTATACTTGAATAATGGATAAAAATCATAAAAATATTACACCTACGTGTGAAAAAAAATCTAGTTTTGATGATATCTGAAAAAATTGAAAAAACTACCCAAGTAGCAAAAAGAAATTCTGAAAGGATTGAATTATTTTATAACAGTCGAATAGCGTTGTCTTAAGGACTGCTTGATTTTATTAAGCGTTTGGTTTCGACCATTCTGTTTTTTAATAAAAGTTGTCATATTAAACTATTTTCTAGTGGTTTTTACAACGTATCCTATAACGCATTAAACGATAATTTCTTTTAATAACACTTAATAAGACAATGCTATATGATAACAAACATATTATTTTATTAGACTCTTATACCCACCATGTAAAAGTTCTATAATATTCATATAACTAGTAGTCACAAAATCATATAATAGTTACTTAAACTTGTCTTATTAAAGTTGTATTACGTTGTATGATAGAATGTTTTCTTGCGTTAACTACGGTGCTGTATACAACACTAGTTATATAGCCTTATATGATAAAATTGTGATTAACAAAATAAATTCGCTGTAATATCTGCATTATAAAACTGGTAATGTATAATATAACCTCATTTTAAATTAAATGGTATACGTAGTTATTTATTTTGTTATTGTTGTTGTTGCAAAAGTAATATCTACGTACGAGTATAATCAATCACAGCTATTATGAATTCTGGACAAAGTTGGAAAAAAGTTAACATACGCAGTGGTAGTTATAAAGAGCATGTAAGAAAAAACTCATCGAAATTACGGCAAATAATCCCGAGAATTCCCTGGGTTCCCAAAAGCCAAAACCTCTCGGGTTGTCTGGCTTCTTCAAAGCATTGTTGCCACGTTGATGTAAAAGTTTTACTGTAGTAATGTTTGTATTGTTTTATTGTTGTTTTTCCAAGTCCTTAGGTTGCCGCTCACTCGTCGGGCATGCATGAAATGCATTGCGTGCATAAATCCATGAAAACCTGATCATGTTTGTTAGTTTAAATACTAATCAAATGAGATTTGCCAACATCCATTTGTCACAAATCTCAATATGTCAAAAATAGTTCTATAGTGCCTGGAAATTCTGCGTAATGATAGATATTTATCTTATACCGTTTTATTTTACCACAAAGACTTATTTAAGGGATTCATTTATAATAAAATGGTTGCATTATAATTCGCCATGTTTAAGGCAGAATTTTTGTATGGCCTATGGCCGCCATTATATGAAGCAAAATTAAAAACATCAAAATAAATTGTAAAATGTTTTTTTTGAGAACTATTTTGTGATAAGATTCCCACATACAGTAATAAACTGTTTAATTAAATTAAAAACAAGAATTTTTGAAAATTTTATTTTATTTTATTGTTTAAATTTATACGTAAACCTAAATCGAAATTAAAGCGCTTTAATTTTTTGCCAAATACATACCTAATCTACCAGTAAAATTTTCGGCGCAACAAAAATTTTCCCTACTTTTCAAACCCTATTAATGATTTTTTATATTACATATTTGTTGTACCTTTTGGCTCTACCCGCCATTTTCACCGTCGAGTAAAGTCTCCTTTTTAACAATCCACATCCTCTAGATTCATTTTACGACACGCTTAAAATATAATTTGCTCCTAATATTCATCGGTAAAAAATAAAATACTCTTTTACCTCGCTAAATGATCAAATGTTTTTATTGTTCTGTTTCTTAGATGTGACCACGTAATACACAATAAAACTAGTTTTATAATAGATATATAACGCTATGTAAAATAGTTGCATAAGAGTTGTATACCCTTTTTATAGAACTTCTATACTACTAAACGGTTGTATAAAAATGGGCCTTTTTTGGTTGTAAAGCTATCATATTACGGTCATATAGCACGTTATATGAATTGAGGTATCCTATAAAAATTATCACATAGCTGTTTATACAGCCTTTATAAAATAAAATTTGCTACTTGGGTATGACGGTCCTTTAGACGTGAAATATCTCTTTAGTTTTCTGCTACCACGGTCCGTATCCCCAACTACCTACATGGTCTCCAATCGTAGTTTAATTTATTTTTTTAAGTAGTATTATTCAAAAAATAGAGGAGTTGTAGTTCAAAAAAAATCTCTTCATTTGGCAATGACAAACAAGCAACAGTATATCCACCGCACACAAGGACATACTTCTGTTTATTTGTCTACCGCCAATGGACATACAGCACACAGAAACTCTAAGGTATTCTCCCCATTTAATTCGAATGGGATAAAATGTATTTAACATGTCGTTTCTGGCATGATATTGTAACTCTGTACTCTGTGTATGTAGTTTGCAATGCCACGTTTCGTTGAAAATCTTAAAAAATGGTTAAAGTGCATTTAGTAAGTCTGCTCCTCAAATGTAATGTCTGTTAATATTATTTGTTTGTCATTTTGATGACTGGCCTATAATCTTAGATCGTTTTTATATAAAGATTACCTAAACTTTAAATCATTTTATGTAATAGAAGTCTCAAGATTATAAAAACCTTAACGACTTTAGCCAAGTTGAACATAAATTATAGAACGTAATCAAACTGAATTTCATAACGAAGAAAAATGTTTTACCATGAAATTTTTCTAATTACGTTCTAACTAAAATACATGTCATTCCCAAGCCTCAGTCTTATTTTAGCTTTAATAGGATTCCATAGATAAAAATGAAAAGGAAGCATAGAAACTTGACTCATCCAATTTAAAATGTACCAGATTATAGAGGAAATACATTTTTATGTGAGCTCGGCAATTTTGCTTTAGAACGTTCATTTCCTCGGAGTAACGTTATATCTACGTACTTAATCTAGTAAAGTTTTTATTTTACATATTTGATATTACATTGATATTGCTTATTAAGGTTTCTATTTTTATCTTGTAGTTTACCTGAATATTATAAAAAAATTCAAAATTTTGCTTAATACTGTTTCTTTTTTTTGAAAAAATAGTTTATGAAAATATAAAAATAAACAGAAACTACGTTACTTATGTCATAATACAAGATGTTCCAGTTGAAATATTGGGGCACAATATTGCGCCATGTATATATCATGTATATTCTATAATACCAGGTGCGTCTCAAAATTAGCTCACCCCTATAACTTTTTTATTTTTTCAGATAAAAAAAACGAGATTTAGAATGTTAATATATGACATAAATTAGGATTGATTGACGTATTCAACTGTTTTTGTTCACTTCCTGTTTCACCGCAAATGACCATAACTTTTTATTTTTAAAGGGCACCCTTGGTATATTTTTACTTTATTCGGTAGAAAATAACACTACGAGTAAAATGACATTTTATATGTCAGCTTCTGACATTTTTCCTGCAAAAAAATCGTACTTTAAATTTCAATCTAGCATGGCTGTGTTAAAATCACTAATTTTTAATACGTAAGAACCCTTGGAGAAATAAATTGGATCGCCAAATGTTTTTCGTTACTTGTACAGGCCCGTTAACAGATGCCTAAATCTTAGTTTTAATATTATCTCAATTTTTTCAAATTGAACAAGTGTGGCTCGTTAGCATATTTGAAAAAAGCATTTTTTACGAATAATTTGGTACCACACACTTGGTATTTCGAGTCAAATTGTCGTTATGAACCGCACGTTACAATTTCAAATAAACCATATGCGAAAATGTCAAAGTTAACATAAGTCGTCACTCTATTCAGAGTGTCATTTTCTATCGAATAAAGTTAAAAATATACCGAGGGTGCCATTTAAAAATCAAAAGGTGTAGTCATTTCCGGTGAAACAGGAAGTCACCAAAAATAATTGAACACGTCAATAAATCCTAATTTATGCCATACGATATCAAAATATTAACATACAAATTCTCGTTTTCTATCTGAAAAAATAAAAAAGTTGTAGGGGTGAGCCACTTTTCAGATGCACCCGGTATTCCGCGTCCGGCTGCCTAACTGGAATTTAAATTTCCCGCTGCGGATTCAGGTGGTAGCTCTGCTGTAAAAAATGTCAAGTTGCCACATTTATTTATTTATTTCCGAACATTGTCATTAGTTTTGACACTTTAGTTTTGTATTACGAGTTTTGGTTTAAATTAATTGTGTTGTGATACTTTAAAAAATTTTACTAGCAGACCTTGCAGTCGAATATATTCTTTTTAGAAACTCTTTTAGTGCGAAGTGTACAAGATAGCTTAATAGCCGTTGCAAAAAACTTACCGCAACCTTATTAGAATATTTTGAACGGGAAAGCGGTAATAATGGCCCTTTATGTCCCTTAAGTGCTGTTATAGAGGTGAGTTTTGTTGATGGAAATAATAACTTTATATATTTCTAATTAATAATCATATCACATTAACTCAACGACACTATCTTAAAAGACAAAGCAATTGATAAATACAGAGCCAAATAACTTTTTTTTTGTTTGAAAATGACTGACAGAATATATCTCAGTTATTTATATTCGCTGATTCTTGTCTTTCTTGATTCTGCTGTTAAAGAAAAAAACATATTTGGTTATTATATAAAACCTATGTCAAGTAATTTGCCTTTACAATGCTCTTTTCTTACACGACTATATATAAAATATCTCCCAGAGATATTCGCCGATTCTCAATAAATCAGTCGATCACAAAAGAAGTTGAATTGTCAGGAATTTTAATCGGAAAAAAAGATGCTGGAAATATCCAGCAGGAAAGGTCAGCAAGAATTCGGTAGTTTAAGCGATTTGCATCACGATTCGGATGCGATTCGACTTTTCTATTCTTCTATTTCGTTTTTTATGCTTTCATTTGGTAAAAGTATGTCCCTCGCTGTTTTTTTGTGTCGACAGATGCAGTTTTATAGAAATTTTGAAGAATACCGTCATATAAATCTGCTATAAAGTTCATACCAATTAATCCTGTAAAAATTAATCTTTTGAATTAAAATATATTTTTTTTTAATCTTTTAATTCACCTGATGAACCCTCGGGCAGCCGCGTACTTTAGAATCACACGACCGGGCGCGTAGGGTATTCCGTACCACATTTATATTTTATAAATATTCTATAACTTAATAGTTATTTTTTATACAAAACGATAAAATGGTATTTTATCGTCGACCGAAAATATTAATTCACGAGCGATGAAATCGCGGGTGAATTAATTTCGGGATACGATAATGCAATTTTATCGTCGTGTATAAAATAATACTTTTTTCCTTAGCGAGTTACGTTTTAAAAAATATTCAGAAATTAATATTTCAAGGAATGTATTACGAGTAGAAAAAATATTGTGCTGGGTTGGCGTTGGTTTCTATGTAATTTGACAAAAAAAATATAAACTGTCTCTTTACTTGTCAGTTTTGAGTCAATATTTTTTAATTCTTTTTCGTTTCGATTGCTGATTGAATTGGAGCCAGAAATGGCTCAAAACGAAATAAGTAAATTACCAGCAGACATTCAGGTTGAGGCGACAAACGCCATATTCAAACTACTTCCATTTAAATCCCGAATATCTTGTGAAAAGGAATACAAAAATTTTCAAAAATGGAAGCAATTAAAAAAAATGCGAGAAGAAATAAAGTTTTTAACCTATCCTCGCTGTTAAAGTATCATTTAATCTACTCTTGCGGTTAAACTACTATTTTATCTACTATTTTTGATAGATATAAGGCAATTTTAACAGTTGCTATTTTCTTTATATTTTTTATAGTTTTTCCAAATATTATCCAGTGCATTTAATCAAACATTAAGCTCTACAATACCATCGTGTAGCCCCAAGTGTTACACTAATGCCATCACTTGTTCCTGTTAATTTATTTATTCCGCTGTATATTTAATAGGTTGTTGGAGGCCGGACTACGACGGCAGTTCGGGATCTAGGGCACAAAGGAAGCCCTTAGGACCCTACGGCGACTATAGCTGCGACGCGACATGGGAACTCATAGAATCGGCGTCCAAAATGATGATGACCAGACAGAACGACAATGTAGAGTTCGTTCTGTGGACAGGGTGAGTGTAGAGAACATATCTTATTACTTGTTTGTCAATAAATTTCATCTTTTAGTAAATAATACGAAATATATTAGGAAAAAATTACTTGAATTCATTCATTAGTTGTACAGGGTGGCGCCTCTCATACGCCGCGGAAGCTCCAAGGAGAACGGTAGTTTATATCGAACATGTTGTCGACAATAGTTGGTCGAGTTTTGTAAACACTGTTTTTAACATATTCTCATAAAATCAGGATCATTTAATCACGGCATATAAATCACACGACAGGCTAACTCTGCCCAGATTCCGTTGTTTAAAATTTCTATAAAATTTGACCTTGAAAACACCATTATGGGTGCCGATTAAGGGCCGGATTAAAACGTATCAAAAAATTTCCCAAAAAATAAACTATTGATAGACAGGGTCGTATTAAAAAAAATACTGTAATTGACTGAAACTGAATCTTATTTACACAATACTTTTATCTAAACAAATGAATCGTTAACCACGCGTACTCATCGAAAAGTAAAAATGAATAAATCAATTAAACATTTAACAGTAGAGAATAGACAATTAAAATTAAAAAACTTGCCAGGAGTTACAAACAAGAATTAAAGAAATACCCAATAAAATATCTATTGAACAATCTAAAGAGGCTACGTAGAAATTATGTCCATCAATGGACATAGCAAATTTTGTTAATTTTCAAATTGAACAAATTAACAAATCAGCTAAAGGAAAACAAGTAACTGATGAATTTTAATATAAATGTTTGGCTATATATACTTTTCCGGGACAAAAATATACGCCGTCAAATTTGACAGCTCTCAAAAAAATGTCATAGTTGTCCGATTTTGATAAAAATCGATATATAGGATGGCCATGGGCTAAAATGAAAGATAAAAATTGAGCTGTCAAATTTGACAGCTGTCAGAAAAATTTCAAAGTTGTCCGATTTTGATAAAAATCTATATATAGGATGGCCATGGGTTAAAACGAAAGAAACAAAAATTGAGCTGTCAAATTTGACAGCTGTCAAAAAAATCTCAAAGTTGTCCGATTTTGATAAAAATCGATATATTGGATGCTCCCTACCTCATAGTCGGTTTTCATTTTATTTGTCTCACATTTGAACTGTTAAATTTGACAGCTGTCGTTTTTTTGAGTTCTCCTTTTTTAATGAAAATCGATATACATATTATTAGGATGCCCATAGGAAGTTATTTAAGAAAAAGAATTGAGTTTAAGTGTTGAGAAAAAAACTGAGAAAAAAACCTTTTTAAAAACAAGCTTTTATTTAAATACATTAAAAAGAAAAAAATAAACTTTTTCTTTAAAACTTTTATTATGAACTTATAACGTCATTACACAATTTTATATTATATAAAAGCTTGTCGCGAGATTTCAGTGTACAGTTGCACTCATAAAAATCTGGTACGACAACTTCATCTTGTAATTCCAATATCTTGTAAACCTATCATTATTCCCATCCAGGATAAATTCATCTAGTTTAGAAGAACATTTAAAAAACTTTGTGTCCGAATATTACACACGGGTACTGAAAATTGCCAAAATGAATCTTATTAAAAACGGCAGACCTCATAAAAAACAACGAGACCTCTGTTCTTTTCTTTCTGAATTGTCATGAGCTAGCTATCCATAAAAATTAAAAACAGATACGGATAACCAGAAAAACAGTAATTTACAAAATGAATCTCGTTTGTCATTTTGCAGGATACCGAATAATAAAAATTACTTTGAATGCCGTAGACAATGATTGAGTATTAAAACTAAAAGAATTTCGGACTTCCATTGTACTACTAAATTACAAAAACCAAATGTATCACACAATAAAACTAAAAAAACAAAATATATCACTCAAAAAAAGAATGAAATAAATTAAGCCGCACGCTACTGACTCAAAGCTGCTGTAACTGTATGTTGTCGATGACAAAGACTACGACTGACTACGACACTGGTTAATTTCTGTTGCTGGCACACATAATGACGGCGTGCGCAAGGATATGCGCGTAGCGGTCCCGCCAAAGTGAGTCGGCCTGCCGTGTGATTTATATGCCGTGATTTAAGTATTCCATTAATTGGTGAATGCACACTAAATAGGTAATTAGTCTCCGTTGGATTAACGAAGCAGTGCTTACAAAAAATAACTATTTTATTTTGTAGGTTTTCTTACAGGTGCCAAATACCAATAGGCATTTTTTGAATAAACTATATTTTTATACTCTTTGAATACTACTCAGACAGAAATAAAATATGTATTTTTTGACATTTTAAAAAAAGTTTATTTTAGTTTATTGCGCAAATTTAGAAAAATTCTTTACCTTACGATAACATGTCTAAAAACGCTTTACCAATATATAAACTTAAAAGTGACTTGGAAGTCGAGATATTAATTTTCAACTCTATCGAAACTTTCACCGCCTTCCGCTCTTTTTTCGTTGTAAATATTGATATATACTTATGGCGTGTAGAATTTGGGACGTAATTCCGCTTTTCCTGTCATTAAAACTTTCTTAAACTGCTTATTAAACTTCACCTGCAAGTTGAAAAACTTTATGAAAGAGTCTGCCTGCCAGTTTGTTGGTACTTTCCCGACGTAACTAGTTAAAATGCTAGCAGAGAAGTTCGGTTCGAAACTGAAAGTGCCATAATGGAACTATCATACAGAAACAAAAGTAATTTGTTTATTGAAGAAATAATTTACCCATATCAATTTCTAACTTTACTTTACATATAATATAGACCTTTGATACAATGTTATTATTTATTAGCAGGCTTTAGTTATTTTTATTTTTTGCGCTAAAACGTTCGATTAAAATAAATTACAGGGTGGTCCGAACTGTATTCCGGAAACTTCGGCAGTATATTTTTTCGAAATAATTTCTGAAGTAACGTCAATTTTTAGAAGAAAATTGATGTCTGGGAGTTTTTTGGTATGAGAAATTTGATTTTGATGCCAATATGACTCCTATTTGTAGGGGGCGCCACCTACATCTGTTTTGACTGTTTTGAAGAGTAATAACTTTTCGTCCTGTATAAAACTACTAGGTGAAAAAATATACATTTTCGTGATTTTCTACGTAAAAAATGTCTCTTGGTAAAAATCGCTACGCGCAACCGTTCTCAAGATACTTAGAATGGAAATAATCAATACATGTCATTATTGATAAAAAATAGGGATGCACGATTCGAATCGATTTTAATCGAAGATCGATCTCTTTGCCGAAAATGTCGATTAAAATCGATCGATTTTTATCAAACGATCTTTTGGTAGAATCGATTTTTTTTCAAAATCGAAGATCGATTTTATTTATACATTTTTACAGGTTTATTTATTTGTTAGAATAAAAAAAACACTTTAGTTTTGCTTGAATATTTGATTCCGGTGCATTTCTAATAACAACTCCAAAATTCCGCCATCTAGCAATGAGAAATTAAGTGTAAGTGCTCGCTACCGCATGCGCCGATGTCTCTTTACCACTTTGATATTAGGTGTCAGATTTTTGTCGGTGATTCCCATATTTTTATATTTCAGATAACAGAATATTTTTTGATATTAGCTTCTTTCCAACCGACTGATATATCAAAATTACAGAATTTACCGGTACATATTCTGTGTCAAAATCATCATAAGCATGCAAAAAGCCGAATAATTATATTTTAACATTGTCATAGTATTTTTAATTTTTACAAGTATGTCTCGGTTTGTGGGTGTTTCTGATTCAGTTCGGGATGACTGTTATTCAATTTCAATTTTAAATGTGTTAATAAACGGTTTTACGATTATTATGTATCTAATTTTTTTATGATTATATCGTATTTTTATTATACCAGTACACCAATACATTCAGAATCGAATATCGATATTTAATAAGATCGATCTTTTGTTACCGATTTTTTTCTGGATCGATCTTGTTATGTCCGATCTTGAATCGATTCAAAATATCGATTTATTTTATTTTTGCGACATCCCTAATAAAAAATAAACATGTTGAGTAGATAGTTATTTAAAGAAACAAAATACGAGTAGCGGACAAAGGGACCAAAAAACCCTACATATATGCTTATTCTCTGCATTAAGTTCATCAGACCGAAGGGAACAGCCATTCGACGACCGGTTTCGGAGATTTTTCTCCATCGTCAGGCCGACTTTGCTGTAACCCTCGATCTGACCAACGAAAAGAAAAGAATAGCATTTGAGTACAAAACGTATTACTATGGCGAGAGTGCTAGACGCTCTACGCCATCTAGCGGGAGAACCATTACTAGTAGGGTTTTCTATCAAAAGACCTTTTTTGCGTAAAAAACTCGCAAATTTATATTTTTAAACTTGTAGTACTAGTAGTTTTAGTACTAATAGCTAAATTTACGCAGGTACGGACGAAAAGTTATTAATCTTCAAACCAGTTAAAAATATATGTAGGTGGCGCCCTCTACAAGTAAGAGTCATATTGACATCAAAATCAAATTTCTCATGTCAAAAAAAATTCAAACACCAATTTTCATCCCAATATGAATATTATATTTTTATGATATTTTAAGAACCGAATTTAATAAAATTTGGGGTGCTGCAAAAAAATGCAAAATATGTTTAGCTGAGGGCTTTATCATTTCACTTTCACAAAAATCAAGAAAAAATACGGGGAGAGTGAAACTACCCCCTTTTATAAACTTTAGTAGAAATATTTTCCAAGATCACCGACCAATAATTTTTTTCATAAAATGACCCTTCTAGTATTTGCTACATTTTTTTGTCTCTTGTAAAAGAACGCCCCATCGCATAATTTCTGAGAAAAAAAATTTGAGAATTTTTTTTCCAAAGCAGACCTACAAAATATACAGGGTGTTCCAATATTTCGTGGACATAGAAGAACTACGTATTTTTTTTAATCAAAATAAGTTAATTGGTCACAATTTACTTCTATACAAAAGTGCTTCGTTTGTTCGTTAGAGGGCATCAATCAAAAATAAATTCGAACGTTAATTAATTGGGGTGG